GGACACTCATTTCTTTAGGCTCTTCCTGCATGCGCTCCCTCTGTATTCCTTTCCTCCTCAGGACAGCGGTAGTTTGAGTTGAGGTAATTTTCTGACAACATCAACACACAACAACTACACTTTTTACTTCTAAAGCTGCAGAAAATAATCTCTAGCTGATGCTGAAGTGGTGCCACTAGCCCTGTTGTTTCCATCTCTCCTACCATGGGAGCCCCACCTTTTTGATTTGGACAAATATCTTTACTGGCCTAATGTGAGACAGCTAGTCTTATTAACACTAGTGATTTAGAGCAGAGTTTTTAATCCAGATTTTAGCATCTGAGAGGCTATTGCTGTGCTTGGCACAGAGGAAGATATTATTCCCAAATTACAGCCTCTCAAATAAAAGATTAGCATAAGAAAATTTTGATATTTGGTCATTTTACAGATTCCATTTGCTAGCCTCGCACTTACTCCAACTCTAATGAAATACATGTTTGTGTGCCAGTGTTTCAGTTTTAATGGAATGAAAATCTTGGTAGACAGCCCGTAAGAAACACTGCAAGATTTGTTATTTCTCCACCTTGAAAATTTTGAAGGGTATATGTGGATTGTTTCATGCAGAGTGCAAATAACCTGTTAGATAACTTGATGATTTTAATAAATAATCATAATATCTGCCTGGTTCTTACACTTATACTTTCACTTTTACCATTTGCCTGATTTAAGATATCATAAGAATAGATACTTCAGGCCACTTCTTCTGGCTTTTTCAGAGATATACAAAAATTAATTTGACATCGTTAGCACAGAAATTTCACTTACTTTCTGAGTCATCTTCTGTGTAAATGATGAGAAGATAATTATATTCAAAAATAAAATTTAACAAGTTATCCATAGACATAATATAATTAACTGAAAAATGCATAAAATTAAGAACATATGGATAGTGTTTACTGTTCAATCTTATTATTTAAAGGAAGGGACTGAAGGAAAACTGGATAAGGATTTGTGGAATGCAATGCTCAAATACTACTAAATGGATTTATTTAGCAAAAGCATGTCTTTAATAAATTGGAGCTTATTTTTTCAAATGAGATCTATTGAATTGTAGACCAGGCTGGATTGATGGGCCGAGGCCAACTGTATGAGGTTCAACAAGGCTAAGCTTCGGGTCCTGCACTTGGGTCACAACAATCCCATGCAACACTATAGGCTTGGGGAAGAGTGGCTGGAAAGCTGCCTGGCGGAAAAGGACCTGGGGGTGTTGGTCGACAGCCGGCTGAACATGAGCCGGCAGTGTGCCCAGGCGGCCAGGAAGGCCAATGGCATCCTGGCCTGTATCAGAAATAGTGCGACCAGCAGGAGCAGGGAAGTGATCGTGCCCCTGTACTCGGCACTGGTGAGGCCGCGCCTCGGATACTGTGTTCAGTTTTGGGCCCCTCGCTACAAGAAGGACATTGAGGTGCTGGAGCGTGTCCAAAGAAGGGCAGCGAAGCTGGTGAAGGGTCTAGAGCACAAGTCCTATGAGGAGCAGCTGA